CAGTAAAGAATCAACTGCAGAAAGGTATAGAAGAAATCAGATCAGAAATAATTTCTGAACTAAAAAATGTAGTGATAACTATAATCAAATAACTACTAAGTGCTTCTAAAGAATACACTGATTAAAAAAAAAGAGCAGAATATAAAAATGGTGGAACCCCCTGAATAAGCAATTTAGGAAAAAAATAGAATGTATGAAACAGATTCAAAGTGATATACAGGAAATTAAAACTTCAATCACAAGCTGGCAAAACTGTTGGAGTGAAAGTGAAAATAGACTTTCTGACCTTAAAGACACAATTGCAGCTAGTGAAAAAGTAAGAAAAGATCTCTTTAAAACAACTAGGACAAAGCGGGGACAGGTGACATTTTTTAAAAAATTTGAATTAAGACGTCTACCCAGTGGACATACACAGATCTACTATTCCAAAAGAGAAAACCAGCTTTGACAGCACAGCCATGATGCCCAGAATACAACCCAAGCTGGCAAGACCAGCAAAGGGACAGGAGGAAGAAGGCCACAAGAGGGGAGAAAAGGCTTCCACCAAGAGGGCAGGAGCCTCGGAGGATGCCACCGCACGTGACAGGAATGAGCTCGAGTTTGAAGAGGCGGTGAAGGCTTTTGCAAGGAAACTTATGGAAGCAAAAATCACAGCACCCTTAGTGAAAAACTTAGAGAGCTCCTGGTTCAGACAGGAGAGACAAAAAGTAAAAGGTTCAACGCCGCTGGTAGAGAAGACGGAGGACGCCAGCGTGGGCGAGCATGCGGAAAGCTTGAGCTCCGGAAGAAAACCAGGTGCGCAGGGGAGGAGCGCGGACGCACCTCGCGCGGGCCGTCGGGGCCAAGGGAAGGCGCGCCCTCCACCCGGCCAAGTCAGAAGGAGCGCGGGCGCAGCCTCGCCCAGGAATGAGGGACAGAGAGGCTGTGAGGCCCCGGGAGACCTTCGGGAGCGAACACGGGCAGGAAGAACCCTCGCAGACCCGAGGAAGGAAGAGCTGGCTGCAGAAAAAGGCCGGCAGGGGGCTGAGGGCGCCGCCTTGACGCTGGCCGCGGACTTCTCTGCAACGCTGGAAGTTGGCAGGCAGTGGGCTCGCATCTTCCGCGTTTTGGGGGAAAACGGTTTTGACCCCAAGTTTCTATGCAAGGTTGAACTGGTATTTAAATGCAATGGTGAAGTCCAGACCTTCTCAGACCTGCAGAGCGTCAGGTGCTTTGCCAGCCAGAAAGCTTTCATGAGAGATTTGCTGAAAGATGCTTTCCCACAGAGTGCAAACTTACGCAGAA